ATAAATAGCCTGCTAATTTGAATGCAGCCCTTGGGCAATTTTGATGTTTCAAAACATAACACTATGAAGAACTCGACCATGAATATGTTAATACATTATCTTAAAAAGAATAACTCGAATACGCACCGCAAGTGATTTTGAAAGACGTGGCCAGTAGCTTAACCAGCAAGAAAGCAGCATATACAAAAATGAAAATACACCAAATCCTATAAAACAATTCCGGTGGATTTCTGAAACATAAAAATTAAAAAAAGTTACAAAGGTATTCTGGGATGTGGTGGTAGAAACTAGTAAGATTAGCGCTGTGACCCTAGGTTAGCGGAATTTTCTATGGAGATGGCAAGTGACTGTTCTATAATGACATGCATATAAAATAAAGATTACCAAAATTCTCGGTAGAGGAGATACAGGTCAATCCTAGTAGGCAAAATATCTCGCTGATGTGGCACAAGCAAGAAACTCTGTTTACGATGCCGAACAAGTAACGTTTTTCAACGACGTGCTTCATATCACTGTAGTAATTGTAATAAACTGTAGCAAACAGCAGTCGTGGTGTGACATGTAGTGCCACGCCTATCCGCCATATGTATTTTTGAGGTGTGTAGTTTCCTATGACCGTACTGATTGATGGAAAAAAGTTTGGTACCTAAAAGAAAAATGTTGTCATCTTAATCTGTCTACATGTATGGTAATCACAAGTTTAGAGCAACGACCTCAATGTCAGAATTTTCGTTTTTGGTTCATCCTCAATATTATGATTACACATTTCCATGGCAGTCCACAGAACTGAATTCAGAAAAATTTTTAGTCATTAAAAGTCATTAAAAGTCATTAAAAAAGGAAAAAAGTTCACAAAATAAGTACCTCATAAAAAGAAATCATTCATCGCATTATCGTTATTGTATTATTATATAAACAAACGAAACCAACATTAAATGACAAAATTATAGGCATACAAGGGAGTGGTACTGATGGAACAGTTTAAATTGGTCATTAAAGGAGCTGAAAAAACATACATTGCAAGAAAACATTTACATGTTACACATTCTACTCCTGTTAGTGTATTATTAATGTATATGAGATTGGCACATAAAAAAATTAACTTTTTCGCATAAACAAGAATAAATAATATTGTTATTCAGTCAGCAGAATATTAAATAGGTGAACTATTGGAGAAATTGGTAGAATTGCAGGTTGATGATATATCACATCACATGACCACTCCAGTAACAAATCAGGACGTGAATTTTGAAGTGTTTCCTTCCCCAGACATTGTGCTATAAAATTTGCAGATTGTAATTCAAAATAATCATAAATGATGATGAATCAATAATTATTGTAACAACCAATTCCCATAACTATATTTGCATTTTTCCTAAAAAACACCATATTGCAAATACAAATTTTAACCCCCAAAAAATCCACTGAAAAATATTTTGCTCTATTTCATATTAGACTACCTGCACGTTTTGATTATAAATATTAATAATTAAACATTGTGGTCTTCCACCACAAAACAAGCCATGTTAATTATTGTAACATCAATAACCCACATACTGCACTCACCACTACAATTTATGAGCACAATTAATAAAATTCATATTAAAATCTAAAATATATTTGCATTTTTCCTAAAAAACACCATATTGCAAGTACAAATTTTAACCCAAAAAAAATCCACTGGAAAATATTTTGCTCTATTTCATATTCGACTACACGCACATTTTGATTATAAATATTAATAATAAAACATGCACTCACCACTACAATTTATGAGCACAATTAATAAATTAAAATTCATATTAAAATCTAAAATCTGAGAAATTATTAATAATATTTGTGACTGTCTGGTCAAAAACCAGGCACTTGTCATCACAAACAATTCTGTAAATCAGCAGAATTCTCAATTTTTTTTTTATCCTGTTAATGCATGTTGGACTAAAGATTTATCAATAAATATATTCACCATTTGTTAACCATTTATAACAATTTTGGCATCAATTATTAGCTTTTGTCATCTACATCGAGACAAGAGCCTGTTTTTGCTGGAGTGGGTCACATTATATTTAGCCCTACAGAGTATCCTAAAACTTACATTGCAATGAGTCCAAGTAACGCTGTCAAAATTATTCACAAAAGACAGAAAAATGCATATAAATATAGAGAGCAGTGGCAGCATGACGGCAGTAGACACTACCGACTTCATCTGAACGCAAAACAAGTTGCTGCTTAATACCATCGTAAGAAGTAGTGTTCCTCCAAAATTTCAGACCTGAAAGAAACCCATTTAGAAATTTAATTGGATGAAAATTACATGGGAAAATCGTACTGAATTTTTACTGAATCTTAAAAAAAAAAATCTTAAAATAAATTTTTTAGAGCACTGTTACCCTCCCTATTGTAGGCCTAGGCCTACAGTTCATTTGAAAGAAAGCAATGCATTTTTCTTCCTCTGTAGCCTCGAAAAAAACTGCTCCCAATGCTCAAGGGCCATACCCACTATTCTCCATCCAATAAATAATTATCCATCAGAGCCCACACACTCTGTGTAAATAATGGCTGATGAATTGAAGTACATACAAAGTCAAGAAAAGGAACTCTACACTTTTTAGCAGAGCTCTAAACCAAGAGCCTCTATGTCTATGATGCTGTCTGTGTAATTTGCCAGTACTTGACTTGATTGAGTAGAACTAACTAGCAGCAATGGGTCCGTAACTATAGCTCAAGGTAGGGCTTAGGTCTATTTCAGGTCCAGGAAGCCTAGCTAGACCTAGCTGGCCTGCTAGGTTCTCCCGGGCCCTCGGCTAACCTTCCCTTTTTAGCTAGCATCTAGCCTAGACTAGTTTAGTCTAGGGCCTAGCTAGGCATATTTAGGCCTAGTAGTAGTAGTACTAGGCATAGGCCTAGCTAGGCCTATCAGAGCTTAAATAAATAGTCTTGATTACTTCAGTTAAGCCAAACCTACACTTATAAACATCTCAATCTTTTAAAGTAAGGATATGCGGGCGGCCGGCTATGTGTAGACCTTGACGATGTACAAATAACAGCCACAATTTCAAGAGACACTTGCTGATCGTTTGTTTTCACATGATCAAAACATAGCAAAACGTACCAGGGCTGTCCCAAGAGGTAGTGGCTATCGGCACTGCCGCAGTGCCGATTTGGCACTGCCGCAGTGCCAAAAAAAGCTGCTGTTTTCTATCGGCACTGCCGCAGTGCCAAAAAGCTGCCGTTTTCTATCGGCACTGCCGCAGTGCCAAAAAGTTGCTGTTTTCTATCGGCACTGCCACAGTGCGAAAAGTTGCTGTTAATTAATCGAATCGATATTTTTATCGATAGATGACATTGGTATAATTCATAATTCATAATTTTATTTCACTCAAAACGTAATGAGACTGGTTAGGCAAAAAGGAACATGTCCCTGTACAAGACGCTTTCCAGAGAAACAATGATAATGTTAATGGCAAAGACATAATAATAATAATAATAATAATAATAATAATAATAATAATAATAATAATAATAATACAGATAATAATAATAATAATAATAATAATAATAATAATAATAATAATAATAATAATAATTAAATAATAATAAAAAGTAAATGATAATAATAATAATTAATGAATGAAGATCAAAATATATCATTGAAGTGAATTCAGTTATTCATTAAAACAAGATTTGGAGGGCTCTGTCATGAAGGTGCATTGTATTAATGATGTTCTAAATATTTGCCTTTATTATATCAATAATTGATTAGGTCTAGCTTAGCCTATATTATTGTTAACATTATATTATATATGTTTAACAATTAGTTTAAATAATTATTTCTAATTAAATTATTAAATGTATACAATATATA